TTACTTCATTTCGCCCTCCAAAAAATAAAAATAAAAATTGTAAATAAAGTTTTAAAAATAAAAACTGTAAAAATTGTATTGACAAAATTAAGTCATGAACTGATGTTTATATATTATACATGCATGCTATTAGAACAAATTGAGATGAGAAAACACCTTCACCCATCATTCAGCGTCTGAATTTCGCTAATCTGAAACCGAAACATAGATAGAAAGTTTCAAAGTTTGCTAATCCCAAACTTTTCCCTCCAACAGAAATTTTTTTTACGGTACTTTTAAAAGTTGATCTACATTAGTACATGTGATTAGTTGCATATTTTGCTGTAGGAAAATTAAAAAAACAGGAAAATTGAGGAATTAATGTTGAACTTAGAGTAATAAGTAAGTAATTTGGAGAAATCGCATCGCTAAGTCAAATTTAAATTTATTACTAAGTAAAATTCAGATGCAACAGACTGCATTTATTCATGCATTTATGCAAATGAGCAATAAGTGCTGCTAAATATTTCTAAAATTTGGCAAAATAGTTCATTTTTAAGAAATAGTAGTGGAAAACGAGGAAGGAAATGAAAACTGAGCTGCAAAATATGATATCGTTGTAAATAATATTGAAACTTGGAAAGCATAAATATTATGCATTTGCCGTGTAAATCTCATTTCTACGTCATATTCAAGCGCATTTACGTTCTCAGTATATAAGAAGAGTAGTTAGCAAGGTGCTACTATATAGATTCAACTATTATAATTACTTATTCATTGTAAACTACCAAGCATATTGATTGATTCATCAGTAAATAAATAAGTAAAGCGATTAAATCTTGCAGACAAAGCTAGAATAGTCTCAACCCTCAGCCTGCTAACTAGAAAAAAATCATTCGGAAACTTTTCGTCCACATTTTGCCACACAAATTTGTTGATTACAAAGATTTAGAAGCTTTAGTTATGCCTCAAAATACGAATTGTGATTATTGCAACTACGGACTAAAAAATCATTTGGAAGATTATTATTCTTTGAAAATACATATTTTTTTATTAATAAATAATTAATTTAACAAGCAAATAAAACTTGAAGCTAATTTACAATATCTCAGTGTATTCTTTTTTAATTTTGGCTTTTCAAATTTTATCCAATCAATTCATGAGCTAATTATTTTTAAAATAATTTATCCTTTCACATAATTATTTTTCAATTTTTATTCTTAAAAATTTGCATTTATTTTGCTAAAATCAAAAAATGAAAATGAGAAAACTTTCTATTACAAAATATTCCAAGCAAATTATCATCAAACTTTATGAAACACGAAGAGATAGATGTACTGAAATCTGAAAAAAGCAGCTAATCTTAGAAAACAATTGATAATTATTTGAAGTAAACAATTGAATAGTTAGCAATATTACTAAAACCTACAACTTCTTCAGTAAACGCGCGAATTTTAAATTATGGAAGATTCAAATTTAACTGAAAATGGTAAAAATTGCAAAATTATTACAGTAGTAGTTATTATCATTTTGTGAAGTATAGATTTGCATTAATGAAATAAATGGTAATTTTGAATTACTGGTGCTTATTTTTATCGTACTCTGAACTGTTATTAATTGATTGTCACTTAATAATCATTGTAAAATATACTTAAAATAATAATAAATAATTAATATAACTTGATGATACTTGTCGAAAGTAAGATGTGAAAATATTTCTGCAGTAAAAGCTATCAAATATCATCAAGTAAAACAGCCAAAAAGTAATTTTATCCATGCCAAACACATTTGACAACCATTTATTTTAGATGAGTTCACTAATTTCAACTCTACTCAAATATTATTGACTTGTTGCAGCAAGTTTTATGTTGGTACTTTAGCAGTTGTGTTTCTTTAAGTGTAAGTAAGTTGTAATAGCAAATTCAATCAGGCAATTAAGTAATTTGCAAATTGCTTCGTTCATATAAATAATACTACATTCAATAAATATCGTTTATATCTTTCAGAATTCATCTTTGAAAAATTATTTAAATTAATTAAACGTATTGTTTTTCTACTTTCTTCTTATTATTTTGAAAATAGCAGTTACAAAAATCTTATTCAATTTATTCTGCAATCGCTTCAGTCCTTACTATAACAGTTGTCACAAAAGTACAGATCAGGAATCAAGATGCAGAATATAATAATCATCATAACACCAACTTCCATTGTAATCCTTTAGTAGACGATATCGTTTAACTTGTATTGAAGCTTTTGGATCGTTATCATCATTGATAAGATAATGATTACCACTGACTGAATCATTGGTTACTTGCAAGGTATTCGACCGCAATTTTGATGAAAATTCATTGAAATTAGCCAGTAATTTATGCATTTCGCGTAAGAAAAATTTTACAATTTTCTCTTTTATTCTCGCCTTTATGTACGGCAATCAAATTTTTACTCAAATTACTTTGAGAATTAAGTTTTTAGGACAGAATAGTGGAAAAATGATCCATACATGTTCCTTACCTAAAATGAATTAATCTAGTATAGTCATGTAAAACTATCATTATCATTATTATTATTATTATTATTACTATGATTAATATGTAAAATAATGAATACAGCTACTATAGCACTTTGCGCATCAAAAATAAATCATTATTTTTGTACTATTAAGTTTAGTGAAAATGGACAAATACCAAGTATTAGTTGTTAAAAGCATATCGTAAAAAGAGTAAAACATAATTTTTAAGTAATTTTTATACTTGAAATTGTTAAAGAATGACTTGATCTATTGTAATACAGATATGTTGAATAATGTGCTTACGCGTTATATTACCTACCGCTGACCTAATTCGAAATTTTGATGAATGAGTGTACTTTGAGTTATTGAGTTATTGAGTTATCGGTAACAATTTGCAATGGGTGCAAATTCAGATAAAATAACAAACAATTCTGAGTCGATTATTTATAAGCATTCATTCCATTCAGCACTCTACTGAATGCATTTCTGATAGCAGTAGATGTATTATCAGCATCAATGATTATATCATTGTTCAACGATAATAATGATAACAAGTATTTTAATCTACCATTTTGAGCTTAACTACTAGCAAGTTTTGATTGAATTTTCTTAAAAGGCAATGAACACATATAATCATGATTATTGTACCCAATCGTTGTTTTCATCATAATATTACACTGCAATTCAATATCATTTTGGTGTATGTGTGGTAGAATCACTAATAATTAACAAATTCTGGCTATTAAATAGAAATGGGGGGCAAAGGGCAAATTGTAAGATTATTTTTCTCGCAAAACCATGCATACACACGCAAGTGTGAGTAATCACCGAAAAATCTCAAATAAAAACAGAAATTAAACAATCTTTGCATAAAGTCAGAATATTTTTGAAAAGAACAAAACAACTATTACTACAAAAAATATTTTGTACAAAATAGAGCACATTTAATTACAAATCGTTCGGTAAAACAGTTTTTTGAAAGACAATTCAAATTGAAATTTAATTAATCTTTTGGACTAAATAATCTTTCAATAAATTAATCAGAGAAGAAATTTTTCTTTTGAATTTCAATAAAATATTATTCATAAATACTTTTTTGCATATCAGTCTTATACTATTCAAAGTTTATGCATAATTATTTGATAAATCTGATAAATAGTTAAGGATTTTCTGCTATTAACTGCTTCAATAAACTAAGGAAATGGTAAGTAATAAGAAATACATAGAAAATTCAAACTTAATACAAAATTAAAGTATTTTGGAGGGGAAATTTGTTAAAAACCAATAGCAAGTAATTGTTGTAAGCATTAATTTTGAATTTGATTTGGCTTAGATTTTAAAAATAATAAAAATAGGCAGTAAAACTGTTAAATATATGGGTCATTGTATAAATTTAAGGCTGAATATAATACAAATATTAAAATTTGCATAAATATTCCTCGTATTCAACGCAGATGAATGATATGAGAGAGATCAATTTGCCAATCTGAATGACTGGAAATCTTTTGAAAAAGACTTTATTAAAGGTATTGAAAACGAGTAGGAAAATTCATGAATAGCAAAAAAGTATAAGTATTGAATTTATGCAAGTTAATAATTTCTTAATTCTCTGTAAAATTCTGGTACTAAGGATTTAAATACTTAAAATAAGAAATAATAATAATAATTTGCGCTGAATATTTGGATTAGTATTCGAAACATTCGATAATTAAAGTAAGACACATTTGTACGAGCGATTGAGAACATTCACGAACGCAAATTCTGCTTCGCTCTTTAATGACAGATAATAATTCTTGCTAGTCAAATATGTGTTCTGATGGCAGCTGTGATAACAAATGTGATAATATTTAAAATGATAAAATCATCGTTATTTACTCAATAGTTCAATACTCAGTGAAAAATTATTATTTTAGTATAAGTAATAGCACTGAATATTGGTAATGGATAAATACTTCATCAATAAATAGCAGAAATTCATTTGCAATATATATATTTTGAATTGCATGGACAAATAAATTAATAATTTTAGGCTGAAAATTACTTATTATTACTTATTTAAATTACTTATTACTACTTACTAACTTACTGGAAATTACTGATTTCAATGCTATTTTTATAACAATTTCAAGTAAGTTAATATTTTCATTATTATCCTATCATAATTATAATAATAGTTAATATTATTATCAAAGCAGCATTAATGGTGCCATTATTACGATAAAACCTTTTAAATGTTTTGTTTGAAACAAATGCAAGTTTTAAGAGTATTTTTGCAACATTATTTGCAGAGAACTAATTTGGAAGAAATATATATGAAATGACAAGTTGAATAAAAAGCTTAATGTACATGTCATCTTTGTATCTAAAAAACAGTCAAACTATTTGATCAATTCAAGTAATAATTTATATATATATATATA